CTCAGATGATCAGAAAACACCATCTCCTATGGAAGACTCCGTGTCATCCAATGGACGTGCGCCCTACCCTGCTGTACTGCGTAAGAAAAACCGGGAAGCTGCTCGAAAGTGTCGGCAAAAGAAAAAGAATTACCTAATGCAGTTGGAAAATGATTTCAAGGAACTTAAGGTTGGTCATTTGAATGCAGTTTTCAATTAAAACCCGCACGAGTATGCCTAATACTAACCATGTCAAACTTTACCCCATGCTTTTAGGCCACATTATTTGTTTTTTAAGCACGGAAGTTGATATTACAACTCTTACTAGCACTGAGGTCCGCGGTTAAGTTGACCTGGCAATCCTACCGACTTCTGACTTTTAGTCTTAGCAAATTTAATCCCCCATCTCTCTTATTGTTGTTGTTCCGAATAAGGAATAGCCTGTCAGTTGTCTGCATCAAACGAATGAAATTTTAATAAATGGTGAATAAATAACCTTAGTGACTCGAAAACATAATAAAGCTGACCCGCCTTACTGATCTCTCCCATTAAGTCTCATTGCAGCCGACGACACCATGCATTATTCTTCGAGTCGCTTTTCAATAGTTTGTGCCACTTCCCGAAGAGGGTCAAATTGTGTTCGTACTTACATCGTACCTTTATGCCCCCTCCAATTCACAACATGATCGGAGAGGTTTTGGAATATCCATAATGTGGCGGAACATGGCATATTCTGCAATGCACGTCTGCTTTCCACGATGGCAGTTTTCAATTAAGACAATTTTCAGGGTAATTATGGTTTGATCGGGAATTTGAATAAAGTGACAACAATTTATATAGTGCCAGCAGCATTCCAGCACGTTTGGGTCAAGAATCTGCTGTGACCGTCATTTGAAGAACACTGGGATTTCCGATGCAAGCACTGACGTCCTGTTCGGATTGACAGAGATCAGTTTTATTATTTTATCGGCTACTGTTTACTGCAGTTTAATACCTCACAGAATTAACTATCATATTATGTTTAGTTGAAGTCATTTGCGTTCACCTGAAGGCTCATCAGAGACTGTTATCTTATGCGTTTATGAGTGATGCTATTAGTCATTGCCAAATCATCTGCTTGGCAACTGTATATTACAAGCCGTAGTTGAGACCAAACAGTAATTTTTTTGGGCGTCACACCGACTGCTCATGTTAACACGTGTGACGTGTGACCTACATTAACACACTTCTAAAGCCACTAGGTTGTAAAAGCCGATATTTGTGCCTCAGGTGGCTCAGGGCAGGGTCGTTGACAGGCTCCTGACATTTGGCATACAAGTTTTCTACTGCTTTGCAGCCAAGAAATTGCCTTGTTGACGCATCGTATTTTCTTCCCCTAATATTTAGACCGCAACAGTAAAATTACACAAAAACTTGTTGAACAGACTTGTCATTGGCACTTCGGTTGCAAATTTGACAACACTTATCAACGTTTGGCACTTTTTATGGCTTATTAGGCACACCTAGAAGTAAAGATAATGCCCACGTCTTGCATTGTTAAAACATTCATGGGCTCTATATTGCTATTGAAAAAAGACCACAGCTCCTCTTTAACAATCAAAAGATAACTTTTCTGCTTCAGTGTCAACATGCAAAGAGGGCCAGGTTAAGTTTCTTCGGGCAATAATCATCAAAGTATCTCACTCATGGCCCAAACCCAACCTAATGATAATGATTAAACTTGGTTACGACGGATACTCAGTTGATGTGCTCACCGTCTCAACCGTTTGACACTCTGACCAACATAAATTCGGGAGTATTTTGGCTTACTGAATGTTCTTCGAATATTCTTAACACATAGCCTAACTACCGAGCTGTATGACTTCTGGTAATTGGGAAAGTCACACGCCTATTATATAATAATCTATCAAATATGCTGTGGTCGTTAACTTATTGTGCACGCCCTCATTTCGTCGAGCCCGGTTCTTCCTCATACAACAGAACGTTTTGGTCACAGTTACCTTTTCGGCTCCGCCGAATTTTCCTTAACATTTTGGTTGTAAAAAATGGAATCTAGTAACCGCTTTGACCGCTTACTTCAGAAGCAGATTTTTAAAGTCAAATTCGCATTTCAAGCGTTTTTCTATTTCTGCCGTATAGAAATAAGCGCATAGA